GTGGACTCGGTCCCCGAAAAAATCAATGGGCGTAGCTTTGACACCAAATCGCTACTCACAAATAAAGGCGTTGATAACAGTGCGTGATTTGGCGCGAACTGGCCAACCACAAAAATGTGGTGATGTACGAGACTCGCCAATAACAGTCGCAAAACACCAAGTAGGTGAACATGGCCAAACAGACTTGGAAACACAATTGCCAACGCATCGTTGACTACGGGACACGCCATACTGGAGATATGGGGAGGCAGCTGGGCCAAGTTAACACTATTTATTGGGAGACCGCAAACAACTCGACCAGTAAATTGATCGCCCGCTGCTTCGCAGCGAAAATATCGCTCCATCACATTGCCCAAGGACCACCCACACCGCAAACAAACACTGACAATAGACGGACTACCGGTACTGCCCGACGACACAAATGTAGCGAGCCCTTTTGAATGGAACGCGTGCCAATTTCATTCGCTTTCTTGTAACTTCCAGCACCCACTTGCTGCAAGGGAGGACAACAATCGCCCGAGGCTCTTGCCAAAGCGGTCCTATTGTTTGTTTAATTCTTAATTTGTATATCGAATGAAACAAATACCTTTTGCTTCGCCCCAGGAAAAAGATTGTTGGGCAAGATTTGAGTGTTGCACCCCAAATAAATTCCCATTGCTAAAAACAAACACACTTGCGGCTTTAGAGGGTTCGCAAAGCAATGCTTTGGGTCCTTGTTTTTTGTTCCTACAAATAGTTCAACGATATTGTTCCATGCCAACCAATCGAAACAAAATTTGCGATAACACCTTCTTGGCTTGTCTTAGTTTTATGAAAGACGAACCCAATGGCATCGTCCTCACACGATATGTGCTCGAATCTACCACGAAATTTTAATGGATATTGTTTTGCTCTGGATAAAGTAAATTGGTACCGTATCGTCTCCGTAGATTTGGAGCGGCACATCAAGTTCCACGAGAGGGCAAGGTAGAGATGCGTAAATCCGCAATCGGGCAGGCTCATGCTTGCCGCGCAAAGTTGTTCAAGCACCGAGAACGACATTGGACGCTTGCCAGTAAATTCCTTGGATCCACTTTGAAGGTTCTGGGCGATGGACTTTCGAATCCCTAAACCACCTATATTTCATTTTTGCAAAAATATCCATGAATGTACCCGAAAAAATAACCTTCATGTCGCTGTCGTATGGCTCAGGGAGGTCAACGCCTTGATCGACGTACAAACTCTGCACTGCACTGCGGTAGCAACTGAGGGCGCCTAGCCCAACATCTCGCTCCCGCACTGTCCAGACAATGAACTCCAAAAAGTTCTCGTACGCAAACACGCGCAGATCTAAGGACATGCGACCCACATGCTCGGTGCTTGGCATCAGGAGCTCTGGCTTCCCTGTGTATATGGTATTATAATTGCTGGTTGGTCTAATAATTCATTGCCCAGTTGGCTACCTGCTTAATTCCGGACAAGTATCCGAATCTTGTGCTGTCTGAGATGCGACTGCGGCGCGCTCCTTCGATGGTGACAGTGCATGGCACCATGTTTCAGACTTAGGATAGTACAGACAACGAGGGAATTTAAGCCACAC